CGTTCCGAAACTGAGATCGTATCATGAAAATGTCGTAAGGTGGATCATCTTTTCCCATACGATTACATGTAAAACCAAATAATTCGTTCCAACGCGAAAAACATACTCAAATTAAAGCCAAGTAATACATTAAAAAAATAACTGTAGTAAGAAAAACAAAGGAAAAATGCGAACTAATGTAACGTCGTATGGTGAGTTTTTGTTCGTATCGTGAAGCAAAAATATGTTCGAATTTCATGTCGTATCCTGAAAATTTCGTATGCTGGGGCGTTCGTAACCTGAGGTACCACTGTACTTTGTTAAAAAAATAGATATGCCAAAGAAAATGCTTATTTATGCTGCTTTTAAAACCACCGTTAGTCAACTGACTTTCTTTCCCTAACCAATCACATCAAGAAATTTAAAATTTTGGGAAGGAGTAATTTCGAGTTCAAAACTGTTTACACGTGAAATTTGTCGGCCAATCAAAAGCATAATTTCAATTTCCGAACGATTAATGGGCAGAAAAGTTGGTTAGAAATGGTTTAACTGTCGATACTGGAAGCAAAATTAACGAATTTCATTTGAAATTTTGCGCAAAAGCTTGAAAGATGCGAAAAATTATGCCAATTGAGGTAAATGGTGAAAGGGGGAAAAGGTGCAAAATGGAGATTAAAAATTCGGTCTAAAGCCGGAGATAATTTCTTAACGGTTAAGGTTTCCCCCAAAATAAGATCTGCATTAAAAGTAGTGAGACATCAGTTTCATATCCTTAATTATAATCATTTAAAAACACCGGTAGGAAGGATCTTAATAAAAATTTGCATCTGTCTGGGATGATAAAGGGAGAAGATAGTATACAACTCAAGGACATTTTACTCTGTTGACATTACAGAACTAATGTTGACTTATTCGTATCTATTAAAAGAAGATAAAATTATTTTTTTCGATAATAACTTACTTGTTAGATATATTTTAAAGTTTCTATTATGATAAATAAGCTAAACAAAATTTGGCTTTAAAAATTTTAATAATTAAAAGCGCAGATTTTATTCGTGTTTAAAGTTAGATAAGGCAATTCAACACCAATAATTCTTCTCATTAGACATTTTAAATCGGAGAATAGCAACATATATTTTTCATAGCAACATATCTAATCTTCAGTGATATACGCGCTGTCAATCTAAATTGCATGTATTCACTTACAGCTGTCACTTTTTGCTGACACGTAAATTTAATTATACTTACACAATGAAGTTAAACGAAGATTAATATATAATTACCAAAATTAAATTTTAAAGATTTTGGTAAAACATTAAATAAAATAAAAAAGTATGTTTTGTGATAACTGAAAAATAAATAAATAGTTTATCTATTACTAATCGAATGTGATGACTGCGTGTGCTTTTTAAGCACACGCAGTCATCATATTTATCTTTAAAATTTGATTTAGGTAAATATTGTTTATATTAATCTTCATTTAACTTCATTACATTGAAATTAAAGTATAAACATATGAAAGTAAAGGCTGGTTAATTTGATATAACAATGATAAAGCGGCTTTAATACAACTAAATAAGCGAGCCAATGACATAACCCGTTTCATTTATAACAGACTGCCATTGGTTTGCTTATCCGGCTGTATTTAGTCGCTTTACCAGGCAACACGTCCAATATATTAAATAAAACAAATGATACAGATAATATAAGACTTTTTAGATTTATTCTGATAGATAAAATTTTTAAAAATTTTATCTATGTAATACGGAGATTATTCACCTTTTTCGACATTATAGAGCCAAATTATCAACAAGTCAAAAGTCTATTTTTTTCAATTAATAAATGTTTAAAATTCAAAAAAATAAACGCTAATACATCGTTTATTTANCTGGAACTTTTTTTTGTTTCTGGTTTTCAAGGTTTGTTTTTAAAACTTAAAACATTTTCAGCACCAAATTTTTTAGTAAAACAAAAGTGTGAAAGGTGCCATTTACTTCTTGATTTAATATTTCTGAAAACCTGTAGGCCAAAAATAACTTAGTTGAAATCTAAAGTTGACACTATTACTTTTCCAAAATAAAAAATTTTTGGTTGTCAAATTCTAGTGATGATGAACATTGTTGTTGACTAGATATTACAAATGTTATCAGGTATCATTATGAACAATAATACATTTTTTTGATTTTATAGAAATCTGGAAAGGATTTAAAAAGTAAATTTTAAATAAATCTTTATCAATACTAAATTTGAGAAATGTGTGAGAAAAGCGGGGGGTCAGGTTAATCCCTCCTGACCACTTAATCTGCATGGGCTGGTAAAACTCGGTCTTGGAGTTGTTGGATGGCTAGGAGGGCAAAAAGTATGGGGAGTGCATCAGTAAGCCTGTAGGTGTCCTTTCAACAACAGGAGACAGGTTTAACAAATAAACAAAACATTTATTGAATAACTAAATCTAAGTTACATGAGGCGATAATAACATTAAGGTTAAATGCAGTTATGCTATAATATTTAAACAACAGGGCAACTAATCTCGTAACTATTTCGCTGACCTAATTTCTAGTTCGAGAGAGAGAGAGCTCTTTTACTGTAAATTCTAAATCCCCTAAATACTTCTCGGCAGATGGAGAATTGGTGTGTTGTCTGTATGGAAGAGGTAGGAGTCCTCAGTATCTTCTAACTGGTGTTTTCTTCCTGTAGCTGGATCGGATCCACTGTATGGAGGTTGCGGTGGCACTATCACCAAATATAACTTCCTATGACAAAATCACAGCTTCCAGGGGCTTGAGCTTTTATTCGCTTGTCATGGGAAAAGAGTCACATAATCATTATATGTTGACCTTAAGTGTGCATTCTTGACACCTGTGCGTCAACTTTCCCATGTTGTTATAACAAATGGTGACCTCCAATCTAATTCTCACCAAGAGTGTTTTCTATCGGAGTTGTTTACATTTCTTTTTTTCTGACGACTGCATTAAATTCACAGATTTCACATAAGTATTAATTTACTAAATGTTTTCTAATAAGTTAAACAAAGTTATATTCATAAAATGAATAATTTATTTGTTTTATTTCTTTTATTCAAATATTTAATATTTTATGCTGTGTAGTCTTAAGTGAAGCTGACAAGATGACATATCTTAAAAATTAACATTCAGGAAATTTTGCTGGTTATAATCTAAGTTTGAATTTGCCAATAATATCAAATTTAACTTTAAGATTAGTGTTAATTGTTTTTAAATTCCAATATTATTAAATTTAATTGGCAAACTAGATGAATAATTTTACTTTTGAATACAAATGTTTCTAATGCAGAAGATTCCTAGGACCTGAGTTTTAACTATTGTTAATAACATAAATGATTTTTTTATGAAGTATTATATACTGCAAATAACATTAATAATGATCTATGTACTGTGACATTACCAATGATGATTAGGGACTATTTACTTACTAATGCAATATTATAACTTTTATATAGATAAGAAGTTACATAAGATCAAAAATTCAAAGATGTATCGTTTAAAATAATATTTTTAATTCAATTATTTAATAATTTAAATATCTTACATTACAGATGTGGTCTTGTGTACTGCCTGCCATCCAACAGAAAATATCATTGCCTCGGCTGCTCTGGAAAATGACAAAACTATCAAACTATGGAAGAGTGACACATAGTTAAATATTTTGGAATAAAATCATAAATTTCATCATTTTTCATATGCCCATGAGCAAAATATAAATTAAAGCCAAGGACAATCACAAGAGAAATAAAATTCTAATTTTAAACCAACACAGAATCACCAAATAATTTTGAACATTGTATTTTCATGTAAAATTTATCAAACCAACTTTGAAGAAATGCACATAGAATAAATCAATTCTTCATTCACAATATTTGTGCTTTTTGGATAGGAAAAACATTATAGAATTTTAAATGATCATTAATCAACAAACTGAAATGGTATTGTATAAACATTTTGAAAGAAGTACACTAAATTCAGTTAATCTAAATCACATAACTGGTTATTGCTGTACTCTGAATAGAAAATAAACTTTAATAATATATATTATATATGTATAATTAAAAGTTATTTTAGATTAAACATATTTTAAATGATTTGGATTAATAAGGGGTTCAGTGTACATTTTTTAGTTTGTTGAAAAAAATATAAATATTTTTAGAACTGGACCAGAAAGAAAACTCCTGAGTTTTGTAAAAAGAAAAAATCAAATTTCACCAAAAAGTTTAGAATTGTGAGAATCATTTCTTATATGATGTTGCATTAAAGTTGTACAATTTTGTCCATAATTCAAATAAGTGATTTTTATTTTTGAAATAAATAAAATTTACTTTCTTACCTGCAAAAACTTGACAAGCTGTAATTAAAAATGTTTTTAACTTGAAAATTATTGAATAGTCTTTACATATAAGCTTTTATTCAGAAAAATTTCTTCACTATATATTACTGTTCAATCAAAAATGAGGAGGGATATTATCGTTTATTTGTTCTATTCATTGTTCATGTAAAATATCTATCTAAATATTTTTTATATATTTTGATACAGGTTTTCAGATTACTCTTCGCTTGTGCATTTAACATTGTTGTATTGATATAATTCATTATTTAAAGTGATAAATAGCTGAAAAAGTTTTCTAATTTAATTCTTGTTTAGTTTTAATGGGGGAAAAATATATGTAAATAATGCTGTGTGTTTTGAATGATGATTGATGGATCAAAAATACTACAAATAATTTTTCACCTTTTATATTACAGTTAAGAGTATATATTATTCTAATTTAAATTTGCTAAAATAATTACTATTAGTACACTTAGCCAAAAATTAAGTACAGATATTTAATCATTAAGGATTAATTTTAAGAATGTTTATTTCAAATTAATGTACTTGAAATTTGATGGATCTGTCTTAATTTTTAAAATGTTTAAAAAAATTAAGCAAATTTATGATGTTAATAAAAATAGTATTTAATAGAAAAATTGTCGATTTAATTTTGTAATTATAAGTAAAACAAACTTTTTGGTTAAGTGTACTTTTGTACAGTTAACTAAGAATTAGCCAAATATTTGGGCTGCAATTTGAAAATAGTGTAGATGTATAAATTCCACTGTCGTCCGTCCGTCGTCTTTCCTTAATCTCGAGAACGGAGTTAGATGAAATCAGAGACCAGATATGGAAGCCTTGATTAACTATATATGAACATCCTATGTAAACCGGAAGTTGTTATTTCAATTCAAAAATCTTCCCCCAAAGGTGTTAATGATCGGTCTATTGTTAAAGGAAAAGTATAATGTATAGGGACAAGCGGACAGTAATTTGAGGTGGAGAGAATATATTTTAAACTAAAATTAAAAATTGCAGCCAGACAAGACCATGTTACAATAAATTATTCGTTCGATTTTATATTATATGTATTCCTCTGTCTCTAATGGCCGACTTCCCGACATATTCTCACAGTATATAAATAGTATCCAAAAATATAAACCAAGGCAAGATTATACTTATTTATTTTGAATAATGTGTTCTCAGAAAATAACTCAATCGTCAGTTATATCGGGTTTCGGAAAAATAATCATGTATATGTTTTACGTATCATTTTTTAAATCTGAGAGTAGAATAGATTCGTTATATTTCTTCAAAGTAAATCACGTATCTACCAAAATAAATTTCACTACTTTTTTTTTTAAGTCTGAATCATTAGCAAGACATTTCAAGTTTTTGGCTAATATATCTAACATCTCTTACTGAGGAAAACAGTTTTCACTGCTTTTCTTTTTGAAGATGCTTTCTAATTCGATGATTGTATGAACATCAGATAGTTGTTCTTGAACACTAGCATCCAAAACTAAGTTCGTAATTAGACCAACTGCAACAGAATCAATATTTTCGCAATAGAGAAAAGCCCTTATCCATGTTCCTCGCCTTGTGATGACAGGGAAAATGCATTGCTTCATAATACATAGCGGCTCTTGCTGGAGCTTTCTTTAAAACTTTCATCTCCGAAATAAACATGTTTACGTGTTAAATGTCCCAAAGTACTAATTCACGGAACAAATTAAAAGCAGTACTATGCATGGGAATGAGATTTAAGTTGACAAACATTGGTTTTAAATTTCTGAAAGCTGAGTTAGATGCCGGGTCTGTTAGAACAGCCCACGCTCATTCGTCTTGGTATTTAATGCCATCCGACCACAGCTTCATGCAGGCATCATTAAATGACTGCATTGCGTGGGCAGCAGCACACTCTTTCAGCTTATATATCTAAGTTTTCGTTGTTTCGTGCACATAAAAAAAACCAAGCTATTCAATAATATCCTTAACATTTTCTTAATCAGTAATATAATGTTCAAACAAAGTACTGTACTTTCAGTGGCGTGCCGACATTGGAAGCGGTGGATGCGCCGCTTCCCTTGTATTTTCTAAAAAATAAATACATATTGTGCGATTATTTTCATATAATTAAAATGAATATTTTATTATAACCGCATTATGTATCTTATTACAAATTTCTATACTACACGTGAAAAAGAAGATAAGATCGCTATTGTATATTCGAATATTAGTGGCGGAGTGGAAGCGCCGTATTGTCGACATCCAAAAAGCCAGATTCGCGCACGCGCTTTACGGAGCACCGACATCACCCGGTTTAGCCGGTGGAAGCCTTGGACCTCGGTTGGATGCGGTATACGTGCTGCATCCACTTCTATCGAGGACCGGTTCCGGGCTGTTAGCCGCCCTCGCCCGATTATGCGAATCACGAGTAGATTTATAACTTAACCCGACCGATAAGCAATGTTCCCTCTAAGCTGCGCGGCCGCGCAGGCGAGCATGCACACCGATTTGAATTGTTGTTTACTTATTTCTCACTCTTGTCTGCAACATGATTATTGTTGCGTATATTTCGATTAAATACATTAAATCATTGGCAAAAGATAATATCTAAATATATAAAATTGCTTGTCCTGACTGACTCATTCATTCATTCATTCACTGATTCATCATCGCCCAGAGCAAACCGCTTAACCTAAAGAGGTGAAATTTGGTACACAGTTAGGGTACGTCATGGAAACGCACACTAAGAAAGGATTTTTCGAAATTCCAACGCGGGGGGG